GGGATGCCCCCCCCCCCCCAGGGGAAGGGCTTTCTGGTGTATCTACTATGTTTGGATGTCATCAGAGTGAACATCTGGATTTTGTACGTCTATCCACAGTCCCAGCAACTGTCCTATATGTCTCCCCTTCCACTGGATGTTTTCAAGGACAGGCTGAACAGGGGAGACAAACCCACCAGCAGGCAGTTCTAGGATTGCAGAGGGGGTCAGCTCATCTTAGCCTCTCCTACAGGAAAGTTCCCAGCCTTTAGGGAACAAGGTGAACAACCATTCTGCTCCACGGTCAAAGATCACCCTGGGCAGCGTGAGTGGAATGACTGGGTGGGCTGGAGCTGTTTACAATGTGGGTTCACAAAGATGGAAGGGCCAGGCTAGGTCCTGGTTGGTTCAGGAATTATGGTAACCATGTGGTCAAATTTGGCAGTCAGAAAAAGCCTTTCCCCAGTAACCCAAGTTCATCCCTGTAGCTTGTGGGAGAGGGAGGGGTGTTGTAGGGGACAGGACCAATCATTTCTCCATTTCCAGAATGCTGTCAATGTAGGGTTATATGGGGCCTTAGGAGGAGTTGTCCTGCCCCCCCCCCCATGGGTAAACGAAGTCACTTGGAAGGACACAGGGTCACTATGTGTCTTAACCAAGACTGGCTAGGCTTTCTTGAGTTACATACCTCCGGCCTTTGTCTTTGGTCTTCCTGGGACAAGCCAGCCCTGTGGTCCTAGGCTGTGAGCTGCTTCTGTGCCCTGTGGACGGGACAGCTGTGTTCTGACCCTTGGATGCTGGATCCAGGCTCTTCAAGGCGGCTTGGGAGCCTGTCCATCCCAGGCTTTGGAATGTTTGTCCCCAACTAGCTAGAAGCTGTTTTTCAACACCAGTTGTAGGGAAAAAATAGAAAAGTCGTTGGAAGAAAGCTAAAACCTTCTCCCAAACATCTTCTATGTTTAGATTGTACCACTCCTTGGGGACTGAAACTTTTTTTATTTTTTTAGCGAAATCCAGTACTTGGGTCCTGAGCACTAGGATTTCCCCCTTTTGACTCGTTCTTTCTGGTTACTTTAGGCTCAGTCCCCGCAAAATAAAACAAGATGGTAGACGCCCTCTTCCCCGGACCTCACCTCATCCGGATACCCTCATTGCTCTGCACCCAGCTGAGCAGGGCCCAGGACCTTTCCTACCTTTGTCCTTGGAGCTGGGAGGGACTGGAGGCCACCAGTGTGAAGCAGTGGACTGAGTAGGAACCTTGGGATAGGCTTGAAACATGTAACTGGGACTCCCAGGGCCATCCACCCTCACACCCAGCCTGGTCCCCAAGTGACTGTGGATACAGGGAGCTGACTATAGACTCTCATCTCTTGCCTTGACACCTCCCCCAAGTCACTGCCCATGTTTCCCCATGTGGTTCTCCATTGTTCTGCTCTGTACATCAGGCCTGTGACACTGCCTTGACACCGGACCTTCCTGACCATGTTGGTGTCCCATCGACTTTTCCCACAGTGCACTTAGGTGAATATCCTCCATGAGTCTCTGGATGCGAGCCATGCAGGAGTTTCTCCCTTACCCTTTTCCCCAGGGCATTCTGCCACCTTCTGGACTGCGGAAGGACACGGCTACGGACAGAGCTCAGCCTGGACAGGCTGTTTCCCTTCATGGTCTGAGGGTCCCACGTCTCAGCCCCTTTGTGTGGTGTCCTGGACTGAGCCTTTCCCACCCTCAGTGAACTGTGTCTCACCATCAGGGATGGGAACTGAAACACTAGTCTCAACTGGGGAAACCATCATCCAGCACTGCCACACGGAGAACCCCACAGAGGAGTTGAGTCGGTAGGCCACAGTGGTATTTGGGCCTTTGTACCTTTTATGTACCTCAGGTAACCCCCTGGCCTCTATTCCCCTCTTTGCTTTTGGTTTCTGTACCAGTTCCCATGATGGCTCCTAGGACAGGTGCAGATGTAGATGTCCCTGAATTACCCAAATCTCACAGGCTCTAGTGGTGCAGGGGCCCTGCTGGGGTTACCTGGACATACATGGTTAGGGTCTGGGAGCACCCTTAGGAGACAGGGGTAGTCAGGGTTCTGTTCTCAGGGAACCAGGTAAGTTGAGCCTCTCCTGTGTCAGACTGGTGGGATGTGGGGACCCCTTAGGTGAGTGGGGTCCAGGATTGAAGATTATGCTGATGGGCGAATGTCACTTAAGTCTCTACCTCAGCTTCAGCAACAGACGTCCTTGGGACCCCTGGACATGCTATGCTTTAAGGACATGCACCCGAGGGACCTGATGACCACCCAGGGAAGAACTTGGGCCTGTGTGCCATTGGTACCAGAGACTGAGATGAACATAGCGCCAGACTCATAGCTCTGAGGGCCTTTGTCCTGTCATTGGGTACCAGACACAGCTGGTTCTGCCAAGAGCCCACCCCAAGGTTACCCTGGGGGCCAGCCTTCCACCAGTAGCACTGGGAGCCAAGGTGGAGGGTAAGGATGAATGCCTTTCCAGGAAGGCACCCTATGGTTAGCCTGTAGCTCTCAGTGCTGTTCCCAGGAGCCTGTGCCTTTTGTCACTGGGTGAAAAATCCACAGAGTAGGATTCATCTCCAAATGTGACCTTTCCTGTGACCTCTCCATTAAATGAGGTTGTTTTAGTCCATGAGTCAGGTAATATTTCCCCCAGGGAAGTTGGGGGGGGGGGCTCCATGTACTTCACACTGCTCCTTATCTAGGATAGCAGAAGCCCCAAGATCCCTTACAAGTGAGCTTCCTGTCCTAGGTGACAGTCTCTCAGGAGCCGTTGGGAGCCACACCAGGTGGCTGGGTATGCAACCTTTGGTAGACATGTCCGTATAGGTGACGCTGAGAAGTGATGAGCTCCTGGAAGATGCAGGCCTTCTGGGATGCAGGAATACTCAGGATCATCCTGCAGTTTCCAGTTGAGGTCCAGTGGAAAAGATCATACATTGTTAGGGTGGTGGTGGTGGTTCCTAGTTAACAGAGCTCTATCACACACAAGCCTTGAATAGGAGAAAATAAGTAGGCAGAGCCTGGTACAAGGTCATCATCCTCAGGCCAGTTCCTTGGTAGATGTCAAACCGACACTGGTAAATCCTACAGGTGGAAGTAAACAGAGTTTTGACTTTATAACTGTTCAGAATTAAAATGACCTCCCTCACTTGGTGAGGGCTTACTGCCTCTGTATTCCTGAGTGTTCATGAGGAATTCTGGGATGTCTCTTTGCCCCCCAGTATACCTCCCTGTTTGTCCATCTTTCCTCCAGATTCCTTCTATACCAGCAAAGGCTGTTTGAGTCCAGCTTCTGGCTGGAGACATTGAGGGAGAAAACCAGGCCTCCAAAAGACACTGAATTCTCACCCAGCTAAGCTCAGAGACAAGTGGCTCCCACACAAGATTTAGAAAGGATGGGGTAGGTCAGGGGACACTAGCATTCCCCCCTCCACACTGCTCTGCCTGACTAGAAAGCAGAGGAGCAGCCCGCTGGGTGAAAGGCACACTGGGTGAGGAATAATCATAGCTTCCCTAGGCCGTGTGGGAATCATAGCTTCCCTGCCCAGGGCCACACTCAGTTCACGTGAGTCTGTACTTGCTCACCAACCCTTCAGAGCTCAGACAAGAGCCAGAAATGGCCAGGTTAGGTGACTTGCCCATGGTGATACAACTGGGGGGCTCACCACACCAACACATCCTCACCAAGATTAGCACTTTCTCTTGCCCCCAGAGGACACATCAAGGTTGTACACAGGGGCTGGCAACCAGACTTTGTTTCCTGTCTGGTGTCTCCAAAGCTGGGCCCTCCAGGAAGCTGCAGCCCCCGCTTACAGTAGCAGCATGAATTATTTAGTGTCTGCACCAGCCCGGAATGCTCTGACCTCATCCTCTTTGGGCCCTGTGCGGCTCTGACCTCATCCTCCTTGAGGAAAGGTAGCTATCCCTAGCGGCTAATGGGCAGAAGCAGAGGGTGGTGGGTCCCATTGGCGCATCAGTAATTGACGGGGGAACATCAGCACTCTCAGAGAAGGAAGTGAGACAAGCAACAGAACTTCCTTTTAGCAGGAAGCAACACTGAGGAATGTGGGGAACATGATGTATTAGGTTTCTTACCAGCTCTGCGACCTTGAGCAGTTCCTAGGACCTCTCGTCACTCTCATCTGTAAAACAGGAGTGCCAGCCTCCTAGGTTCCATGAAAATCATGGTTCCCAAGGCAGAGCTCCCCAGTGTGCCCTCCCCAATCCAGTAAACCTCTTACCGGATTCTCACTTGCTGTGATTGGAAGCTAGCACATTTTTTTTCTTTCTGCTCTCCTCAGACCCTGGGTCCTCAGGATGGGTGCAATGGCAGTTTTAGGGGTTTGGGAGGGGTATTGGTATATCCTGGCAGTGCCCTGATTCCATAACGGGAAAAGGCTAACACTAAAAGCATTGGTGGGTGGCCTGGGTGCACAGGAGGTCCAAGACGCCAGGCTGGGGAGCTGGAATGGGACACCTGTCCCCTGAGTACCTACAGAGGCGTGGAGAGGAGCAGCGATGGTCCCTCTCCTCCTTTGTCAGGTCAGACCCAAGCTGTCTTGGTGGTTCCAATTCCTGAGTGGCAGCTACTTTCTGGTCCCCAGGGCATCCTCATGCCAGGGCCTGGCTCCATCTTGCTCTACCTATGCCCAGGAGCCTCAAGTGAGGCACAGTAACCTCCACTCAAGTTCACAGCAGAGGGGCTGGAGAGATGGCTCAGCAGTTAAGAACGCTTGCTGTTCTTCCACAGGACCCAGGTTTGATTCCCAGCACCCACATGCCCGCTAACAACTATCTGCAACTCCAGTTCCAGGATATTGGACACCCTCTTCTGCCCTCTGTGGGCTCTGCATACACATGGTGCCCTTACATATGTCCAAGCAAGACATTCATAAACATAAAATAAAAATAACAGATATATTAAAGTTTGCAGCAGATCCAGGCAGATGAAGGGTCACCACTGGGCTCTGCCTTCCATAGAGGCTCTGAGGATGACAGGGGCAGCACTTCTCTAGTTGTCCACCTGCAGGCTCCCCCAAACCAGAGCAAAGAGGAGGCTCTCCCTGGTGAGTCCTCCCGGAGGCAGCAGCTCGCTTCGCCCTCCAACACCACTGGAGGGTGCACCCGTCCAGGCCTGGGGGTTTTATGCTGCGTCCCAACAGAGAAATTCAGTCAGGACCCTACCGCATCTCTGGTCGCAGGGACAGAAAACAGAGGGCTGGGAGCCCCTCCGCCTCCTCTGTCCCCCACTACAAACACCCCGCTCACTCTTACGCTGCTGGTCTGGGGAGGGGAGGTGGGCCTGTATATCTGGCGCCTGGCCGGATCGCTCCATCTAGGATCCGCCCCTCATTCCCCAGCCAACCCGAGGCCTCCTCCTGCGCCCACCTAAGCCCCACCCCGATGCCCTGCAATTGGTCCCGAGAGCCAGCTGGCGCCAGCAGTCCCCGGCCCTGCCCCACCCTGGGTGGGGATGGGACTGACGGTGGGGGTGGGAATAGGAGGCTTAGGTAACCCACATTCCTCCATCCTCAGAACCGGGGGTTGCAGGATTGTCCAGAGGTCTACCTGCCCCATCCCTCGCCGTCAGACCCAGACCCTGTACCTACTGTATTCATCCCTGTATCTCACAGCTTAGCATAAAGTGGAGACAGGCAAGTCCACGTTAGAAAGAAGATCAAAGTCTAGGTAGCCTAACGGCCAAGCTGGACAGGGTGCCCCTTCACTGCTTTAGTTGGGCTTGATGGATAGACTCTTTAGCTTGGTACTACTGACATTTGGGCTGGAGGACCACTCTTTGTGTCCGGGGCTGTGCATGGTAGGATTCTGAGCCAGCACCCTCCACCCACTAGATGCCGGGACCACCACCAGGTTATGACAGTCCAGAATGTCTGGAGATGTGATAAATGCTGGGGAGGGTTGTCCGATCCCAGGACTGAGGTCTGATCCTCTAGGGCATTACAGTAGGCCCCTGAGTCAGCCACTCATGGCTCTGGGAGTCCCTGCAGCCTAGGATTCTACTTTAGTATTGCTGGGCCTTCCCTTCCTTTCTGCTGATGGCCAGTCACCTCAGGGCAGTCAGGGGGTTGTGACCCTTGTCCACAACACAGGCAACATGTGACTCTCAGTTCCCTGCTCCCATATCTAGTGTTCATGCCGAACCACATCTCAGGACAAGGGATGCGGCCACACTGATCTGTTTCCTGTCACTGTATCAGACCAGCTGGGCCACCAGACTTACCCACAGTTAGTGCTGAAGGACAGGGAGGGTCTGGGAAGCAGGTGCCCAACTGCAGGTCATACCTGGGAGCAGGTCATAGTTAACAGGGCATGGCCTCTGTCCTATGTCCCTAAGGAAAGTAAATACGGACACCCCCCCCCCAACCCCACCAAAAGCAAGGGTTAGGTTTATTGCCCCAGCACAACCCCCGCCCGGCCCCTGAGGTGCCCAACTGCAGGTCATACCTGGGAGCAGGTCATAGTTAACAGGGCATGGCCTCTGTCCTATGTCCCTAAGGAAAGTAAATACGGACACCCCCCCCCCCAACACACACACATGCAGTGTTTAGGTTTATAGCCCAGGCAGATCCCCTGCAGGTCCCTGTAGGAGAGGAGAGCAGAGCAAAGGTGGATCAGGATGCTAGCAGCACTAATCCCCCATCCCATATGCAAAAAACTTTGAGGAGAACCCAATCCCAGGCACAAGGCAGGTGGTTTTAGTAGCTCTCCCTCCCCTCGTGTATTCAGATGCCCACATTTGCGTAAAGAGAAGGTGGGTGAAAGAGATTCAAGTTCACATGGGTGGGGGTGGGGCGGCAGAGAAGAGGGAAAAGACTTTTACTCTCTTAATATCTTGCTCTTCCTTCCTTTTTTTCTTTACCATGAAAATAAACTATATGTTTAATTTTAATTTACCGTAGTGCTAGAGGTGGAGCCTAGGGCCTTGTGCATGCCAGGCCAGGACGGCCCCCAGCTCTAAGTCATTGTCCTAGTTTGTTTCTCCATTGCTGTGACAAAACACTCTGACCACTACCAACTTGGGGAGGGAAGGGTTTATTCAGCTTATCTCTCCTGGGTTACAGTTCACCAGGGAGCCTAAGGTAGGAACGCAGGACAGGAGCCTGGAGGCAGGAGCTGGAGCACAGGCCATGGAGGGATGCTGCTTACTGACTTGCTTTCCTGGCCCCTGCTCAGCCTGCTTTCTTATGCAACACAGGCCCACCTGCCCAGGGGTGGCACCACCCACATCACTCAACAATCAAGAAGATGCCCCATGGATATGGCCACAGGCCAGTCCAATGGAGGCAATTCCCCAGTTGAGGCTCCCTCAACGCAGGTGAGTCAAGTTGGCACTAAAGCTCTCCAGCACAGTCATGTATTTTTTAAAGGTTTTAAAATTATTTTTAATTATGTGTATGTGTGTGGGGGGGTATGTGCTCATGGGTGCTGGTGTCTGCAGAGACCAGAGGCATTGGATCCCCTGGAGCTGGAGTTACAGGTGGCTGTGAACTGTCTGATGTGGATGCTGGGAACTGAACTTGGGTCCACTGCAAGAACAGCAAGTGTTCTTAACCACTGAGCCCCCTCTCCAGCCCAGTCTTCTTTTCTTGTCTTTGAAATGGAGTCTCATGTTACCCAGGCTGGCCTTGAACTAGCTATGTAGCTGAAGATGACTTTGAACTTCTGATCCTGCTGCCTTCACCTCCTGAATGCTGGGACTACAGTGGTGCACCACCATGCTGGTGGATTGAACATAGGGTTTTGTGCATGCTAGGCAAGCATTCCATCAACTGAGCCACACCCCCAGCCCCATGGGGAGGATTTCTGAGGAGGCTGAGAACTGGGGGCTGAGGAAGAGGGTGCATATACATATGCATGGTATGCATATGGAGAACCCCTGTCCCGTCCCTAATCTCAGCCTTGCTAAATTGAGGTTTGAGAAGACTGAATTCTGCTTATGGTCACAGGACAGACTGGCTCTTTGTCACCATTTGCTGTTATCAAACAAGCTGCATCTGTCTGGAGGGGCCAGACAATAGCAGACCTGGTGCCATGGGTTCGTTTTTCAGTCCTTCACCAATATTTAGAGACGGCTGCCCCTGGCCATCATTCTAATTGACATCCGTCCTCACACTGACCTCTCAGTACCCCGGCCCATCTGGCTCCCAGTACTT